GTGTGTGTGTGTGTGTGTGTGTGTGTGTGTGTGTGTTCGCTCACAGTGTTTAGATTTCTTTGATGCAGCGAGAATGAAACACATCCAGGTAATTGCAGGGTGTCGTGTGATGGCTTTGAGTTCTAAACCAGCATGTTGCTTTAGCACTAATCTGTTGACATCGAAGTATCTGTTGGGCCTTTCAGTGTTGCATTGAATTTTCTGTACATATTATGGGCATTCAGAGTGCAAATCATATCAAAACACTGGCAGCTTCTAGTCAGTAGTCTGGTATTCTTATCAGAAATACTCCTGTGCAGTCTTCCACTGGGGACTGCTTTGTTCACATTGAGCGGCGTTTGAATGGGACGAGACGTGGCTCTGGTTTGCTGAGGATTAGACGTCCTCACGCAGGAGAAAGCTGAGGAATGATCAGAATAAAGAGCTGTGACGGTGAGTAATGGCAGGGTGCGACCCAGCATGCATCAGTCAGGCTCCAGCTCCTGTTCCAGCAGGATTTGCTGCTTGTGTTTTAAAGGGAAATGCTTTAAAACAAGTGTTCGGTTCCGGTAGCGGGTTTCACAGGTGCATTCCTCTGCCATACTGAAATACTCCAGCAGTGTTACCTGCACTAGCAGAGTCGTCTGATTCCCCAAACGAATCACTCTAATGAGCCAGTTCTTTTTAGAGAATCAAAAACAGATCCCACAGCCACTGTATAGTCCGAATCATGAATGAATCACTCTGAGTTGGTTCTTTTGAGTGAATCAAATATATACAGTGCTACCAGTGTAGTGTGATTCCCGAATGAATGACTCTAATGAGCCGGTTCTTTTTAGTGAATCAGAAACATATCACACAACCAAATGCATTCTTCCACAAATATTGTACTAAAATTAGGGCTGTCAATCAATTAAAATATTTAATCGCGATCAATCACAACTTAATCGCACATTTTTATCTGTTCTAAATGTACCTTAAATTAATACTTTTCAAGTTTTTAATACTCTAATCAACTCTAATCAAAAGCCCCAGTTTATTACTATTGGCACAACAATGCATAAATGAACACGACTTTACCTTCAGGTTAAAATTACATTAAACATTGCATTAGAATTAGAGGGTCATGATAAATACAGAGTTCTGGCATGAAACTCTAGATGGCGCAGTCCGATAGGTCTAGCTCAATCTGACCTGGTGACATCATTGTCACATGGCAGCTGATTGGTTCTCTCCTGTATCGTTAGCCAATGAGCTTACTGCTCAATATTCAAATACCTGGCTTTTGGTTGCTGTAGCAGTTGGCAGCGCACTTCAGAAACCCTCCACCTTCCCCAGCTCCACCTGTATAGACCTGCTACGAGGTGATTCATGTACGCTATATGGGGGTTATTTCATGTATGTTATATGTGCAGCAGCAGTATTTCTTACATGCTCACAGCAGCATGTTGTGGATGTATTGGCAGTAGCAGCAGCATAGCAGATCTATTCCGCCAAGACCAAATACATTAACATTGTCATGTACATTACCATGCCAATCCCTCCGAGAGTTGTCATGACAGAAATAGGCATGGTAGCCAAGGCTCACATAGCCATAGGCCACTATTGTTAAGCCAGTCGGCGTGGCAGCCAAGGCTCACATAGTCATAGGCCACTATTGTTAAGTCGGTCGGCGTGGTAGCCCAGGCACACATAGATAGTAATACATGCGGTTCACATGGCTCTTCGGAGCAGCAGCAGTACAAATGTCTTGGCGATAGATCTGCTTTGTGGGGGATGTCTTGGCTTTCCTTGTCTGTTCATCTTAATGTGTGTGGATACATGCATGTTCACTGATGCAGCAGTTTATCCTTATATTCAGCGGCACGCATATATTGGCTTGTATTGTTTTGTGGAACGTGTCTCCTGCTTTGTGGGGGGTTATTCATATGTGTTATATGTGCAGCAGCAGTATTTCTTACATGCTCACAGCAGCATGTTGTGGATGTATTGGCAGCAGCAGCAGCGTAGCAGATCTATTCCGCCAAGACCAAATACATTAACATTGTCATGTGCATTACCATGCCAATCCCTCCGAGAGTTGTCATGACAGAACTGTACGTTTAGTTTACTGAGTGAAAAGAGTGTAAACCTCACGAGAGGCGATGTGTGTCTCCTCAGGTCGGACTGTGTGGATATCCTGACGCAGTGTGGCGATGGCAAGCGCTTTCTCGAGGGACAGACGCCCGAGCGCATCTGTGACCTGCTGTCGGCCACGGACGACCCGGAGCGCTGCATCCCTCTCCACAGATACCTCAGTGAGTGTGGCTCCTCCGCTGCACTCAGCGCTGTGTTCGTTACTCACTGATGTCACTCATGTCATTACGGTTTCCACAGCCCCCAGCCCCTTCCAGAACACCGCTGAAGAAGTCATCCACCCCTGCAACCCCAGCCCCTGTCCCAGCAGTCACCTGTGTGAAGTCAACAGAAAGGGCTGCCACCCCGGACACGACTGCCTGCCCTACTTCTGCGTCCCCGGTACACACCACTCATGAGCTCAAAGTCTGATAAAACATGGACATTTATTCAGAATGGAATAATACAGTACTGCTTATTGAATACTGCTTACTACTAAAAGTATAGTGAATTCTGGCCAGTTGGGCCACATTTTGACATTGAGGTGACTGCCATTAAATGGTCCCGTGTACCTGAAATGTTTTTGTTTGGTTTGGTTTTAAAACATTCTGTTAGTTTCCAATCAAATAATCAACAAGTGGATTTTAAATGTTTTGTTTTGGTTGTTTTTTGTTGTTGTTATTGTTGTTTTTTAAGTGTCCTAACGTTTCCAATCAAATAATGGGTCAAGAAGTATATTTTAAAATTAGTTTTTTTTTTCTTGGGGGGGGGGGTTGTTTTGTTTGGTTTTGTTTTGTTTGATTTGGTTTTAAAACATATATTTTTTAAACTTTTGTTAGTTTCTAATCAAATAATCTAGAAGTAGATTTTTATATATATATTTTTAAACTTCTTAACTTTTGATAGTCCATTCAAATACTGAGTTAAGAAATCGATTCATCACACCAGAAACTGAAGGTGAAGTCGAGTGAAGTGCATTGTGGGATACCCAGCGTTGTGTTCTCTGTTGTAAACGGCTCATCCGTGTGTTGTATGTGTTCAGGACACTGACACACTGTGCACAGTACTCACAGTTACAGTAGTATGCATGCTGTGCACAGTAAGAGCGAACGCTAGTATGCCAGAGAATGAATAGTAAAGTGCACTAGGTTTGTGTTGTCATCAGAAACTCTTCTCAGACACTTTGTCCTCGTGTCTCTAAGGCTGCAAGCTGGGGGAAGCGTCGGAGTTCCTGGTGCCGCTGGACAGCCGGATCCAGGTGCCCACCAGGAGCGGTCAGGTGGGCTGTTACGAGGTGTGCACCTGCGGTCAGAGCGGCCGTCTGCAGAACTGCGCTGAAATGCCCTGCTTCGACACCAGCAAGACCTGCTTCATCGGAGGACAGCGCAAGAGTAAGATGTGCTTACATATGCAGCCTCTGTTATTCACATGCAGCTCAGCTCTCACATTAAAAGCAACACATTTTCAGCACTTACTGCTCGAATGAGGTGTATTTCACAAGTAAATGGTGCATAACAGACACCTACATTGGTTTATTTTTATTTAATTAACTATTAGCTTAACATAAGATAAAAACTGTGGATATGTGATGTTTTTATAATGCATCGTTCCAGTACTGGTCTTGTTTTATGTGGACGCTGCCATCTGTTGGTGACAAATTAAATCTGAATTCTCAGCGGATGGATATTTAGAATGGTCTCCAATATGTTTTACAGGAAATATGTCAAATTATAGAAAAAATTCGAATAAATGCATTTCCATAGCGAAACGTTTTTTTGTTTGTTTGTTTCTTTTGTTCTACCTTTTATTAGTAAGTGTTTTTTGTAAACAACTCATTTTTATGCCTGTCGTTTTGAACCTGAATGAGTTTATTGTCTTTTCTTTCATGTTTACTTTTACTCCACTTCTGAAGCGCTTGGCCATCTTGGGCTCATTTGAGACAGATGTGCTGTGCTTTATAGTCGTGTCAAGCAGTGCCGCCTGGAAAGATCCTTACTGTTCTTATGGAAACTAAATCTGTAGACTGCTATATTCTTACTCGTAGGACTTACAGTGGGTACAGAAAGTATTCAGACCCCCTTAAATTTTTCACTCTTTGTTATATTGCAGCCATTTGCTAAAATCATTTAAGTTAATTTTTTTTCCTCATTAATGTACACACAGCACCCCATATTGACAGAAAAACACAGAATTGTTGACATTTTTGCAGATTTATTAAAAAAGAAAAACTGAAATATCACATGGTCCAAAGTATTCAGACCCTTTGCTGTGACACTCACATATTTAACTCAGGTGCTGTCCATTTCTTCTGATCATCCTTGAAATGGTTCTACACCTTCATTTGAGTCCAGCTGTGTTGGATTATACTGATTGGACTTGATTAGGAATGGCCCAGCCAGAGCCCTGACTTAAACCCAATTGAGCATCTCTGGAGAGACCTAAAAATGGCAGTCCACCAACGTTTACCATCCAACCTGACAGAACTGGAGAGGATCTGCAAGGAGGAATGGCAGAGGATCCCCAAATCCAGGTGTGAAAAACTTGTTGCATCTTTCCCAAAAAGACTCATGGCTGTATTACATCAAAAGGGTGCTTCTACTAAATACTGAGCAAAGGGTCCGAATACTTAGGACCATGTGATATTTCAGTGTTTCTTTTTTAATAAATCTGCAAAAAATGTCAACAATTCTGTGTTTTTCTGTCAATATGGAGTGCTGTGTGTACATTAATGAGGAAAAAAAATTAACTTAAATGATTTTAGCAAATGGCTGCAATATAACAAAGAGTGAAAAATGTAAGGGGGTCTGAATACTTTCCGTACCCACTATATATATATATATATATATATATATAAAGCTATGACTTTCTCATTCTCAGTAAAGTGAAGGACAAAAAAAGGCCCAAACTGCTCTGAAACTGCAGTTTGTTGAGCTGTAAGCTACTTATCGCTTCAGCTATGTTAAAGGAAGAGACAGCCGGAAGCACAGCCTTGTTTTATGCTATATTACAGGAGTGAGTTTCATTCAGCTGTTCCTCACAGTGGTGACTGATCATCTCGTGTTTCCGTGCAGGTCACGGTGTGTCGTTCCGGGTCGACTGTCAGCCCTGCTCCTGCTTCGCCGGTGAAAGCATCTGCTCGTCTCGTCAGTGTGTGCGCGCCGACGGCTCGGACGAGGACAGACGGCTCTTCACAGGTCTGTGCTTCACTAGCATCTTTACTGGTGTTCATCAAAGCCCATTTACCACACGCAATTAAAACATTAAAAAACGTAAGTCTGACTTTTTTTCTCAGTTGAGATTATATCTCTCAATTCTGACTTTTTAGGTAATTGTGACTTTTTTCTCACAATTCTAACTTTTTTCTTGCCATTTTGAGAAAAGATGTCAGAATTAGTTTACAGCTTGCAGTTCTGAAAAAATGTCTGAATTGTGAGAATTACCTTTTTAGTTTTTATTCCATGGTGGGGAAAAAAACTGAATTATGAGACAAACTCAGAATTGCAAGAAAAAAGTCAGAATTCTGAGTTTATATCTTGCAGTTCTTTTTGAGTCTTCTTGCAGACTTTTGCAGTTCTGAAAAAAAGTCCAAATTGTGAGCTAAAAAGTTGCAAATAAATTTTTTTGTAATCATTGTATTCCTGGGCAGAAACGGGCTTCCACAGATTTTAGACTTCACAACAACGTCTATTAAAAACATTTTTCTCAATGCTAACAATTATGGACAAAAATAGGAAAACATGATAATGTAAATATAAACAAAAGAAGTAATGAAGTAGATAAAAAACATAAATTTTAAAACACGTTTAAATAAAGCGATTATTTTCAAGACCTTTTTAAGTCAATGTAGTAATAGTGTGTAGTTCGGGGCCAGTGCTTTAGCTGCTGCTTCTCTCTCAGGGCTTCCCTGCGGCTGCGCTGATCATTTCGTGCCGGTTTGCGCTCGTAACGGACGCACGTATCCCAGCGCCTGTGTGGCGCGCTGCGTCGGCTTCAAGGACAACCAGTTTGTGTTCGGCTCCTGCAGAAGCATCGACCCCTGCTTCCCGAACCCCTGCCAGAGGAGCCAGAGGTACCTTCAACTCACTCACACTCACACACACACACTCACACACACACACACACTCTCTCTCTCTCTCTCTCTCTCTCTCTCTCACACACACACACACACACACACATAGACACACACACACACACACACACACACACACACACACACACACACTCTGCGTTTCCTCTCGGCTCAGATTGTTTGCTCAGGTGTCACTCGGTGTTCGTGTGACTCTTCTGCCGTCTGATGAGCGCTCGTGTTCTGAAGGGATCGGGATCTTACAGCACAGATCCAGTCTAACGCCAGTCATTCAGCACGTGTGAACGCTGATGAAGCAAACTCCAGATTTATGTGTGAAGCTGGGCAACATGCACACAGTTTGAGTTTACTATTGATTAGTGTGATTCATCAAACCAATATGCAATTATTACAGCAACAAGAGGCTGTGCATCACAGCGAGTATAACAAGAGAAAGGGCTGATGTTACAGAAGACACCAATGTTTGATCAATAATAATAATTGATAATAGCTGAATTTAATAAGTAGGAATTAAAACAAATTTAAAAATCAGCTGATTATTTGTATTAAAATGAAAATGTTATAAATTATTAATAACTAATTATAATTGTTGAAATAAACTATTTTTCAAACTGGCCACATAAATATAAATGAATTAATATAGCAATATGGTAAACTACACACATTTTTAATAAATAATAATAATAATAGATATGTGAGCAATTCTAAAAAAAAAAAGGATAATTTATGAACAAATTTATAATAAAAATAAAATATCAGTTATTAATAACTGCATGAATAATTTTTTTAATAAAATGTTCCTCCAACATGCTGCATTGATATAAATTAATATAAGCAATAAGATAAAATACACCAATGTTTAATAAATAATTAATAATAGTATAATTTAATGAGAATTAATTTAAAGTCATAAAAATAAAAAGCATTTATTAATATATTAATAATTAATAATGATATTAAAACCATATCAATGATTAATAACTAATAATAATGTTTGATATTCATAAATTGCACTATATATAATTAAATGATTATTAAAATTTTTTTATCAATTACTGCAGTTGAAAATAAAATTGTATTAATTATTAATAATGAATAATAGTAATATTTAGAATAAGATATTCATCTGTCGGTCGGTGGTTCTTGACTCTGTTCCTGGAGTCTCCAGCACTGCACATGATGAACGTCTTCTTTCTCTCAAACACATTTGAGGTCTTGGAGTCTGTAGTAATCAGTGTTGGATTATGGAGACACTGCTGTGCGTTTATTCACCTTTTACAGCTTCTATCACTCATACAGTCAGAATCCAGAGTGTGAACGATCTGTTCTGTGTCCGCAGTGTGTGTGTTTGTGAAGGTTTGTTTGCTCAGATGGCAGTGAAGCAGCACTTTTGAATTCACATTCAGGATAATACTGAAGCACAATGATGCGAGCTGCAGACATCAGCGTCCCCTCAGCATCGGTCTTATGGAAGGCACAGCAGTGTTGCGTAACATCTCCTTGGCCCGCGTTTCAAAGGAAATGTTTGTTCCTTTGTAAACAAGATGATAAAATGGCGAAGCCTTGATGCTAAACATCTGTCTGAGGTGCGTTTATGATGCCGGCGGTGCGCTGAAGCAGAGCAGAGATTTCTGGGAAATACGGCTCGTCTTACTGCAGTAAACCCTTGACTTCTGCAGGCTGGATTCAAGAGCGCTGTTCCTGCACTCATTTAACACATGGAAAACGACAGAAATGTCAAATGTGCTGGAAAATTATTTTTAAGATGTAATTGCATTTTCTTTTAGTTAAATAAAAAAGAGATAGTTTCAATAGTTTTTGCTGTGGTATTGAAATTGGTTCTGAAAATGTATAATTAAAGCTCATATTAAAGAGCTGATTTTATAGCTAAGTCATGGCCATATGTCTTATAAAGAGGAATATATTTCTTTAGGGAGTGATCTTTTTCATTTAATTAAATGGAACCTTTTCTGGAAAAGTGCTGGAAGTCCTGGAACATTGCACTGAGATAGATTGGGAACCCTGAAGAAACTTCTCTGGGATCAATTATTGGTCCTAATTGTCATTTCAGCCTAATTTACCTTATTAACTAATTGTGAGTGTGTGTGTGTGTGTGTGTGTGTGTG